CCTCACTTTCTGACTGCCTTCCCTCTGATGGTGATTTTCTTGAGGGGCTGATTCTCAAAGCGTCTCACTATTCTCACATGCTGGGCATTTCATGGTTCACCTGCCTAGATCTCTGCCTCAAGTAATGGTTGTGGTGGGGTAGGGGGGACGATTACAGAATGGCCCCATCTGGATGCTGGGCTCTTTGGATGTTTGGCTTATTGGAGTGCCACACAGCTCCTTCACATATATTGCTCTGTCTTGTTCACTTTTTTCCTCAGTTCTCTGGCATAGGAATTCAGAGCACAGCCATATTGGTACCACTGCTGTCAAGGGTGATTTCTTTCTTTGGAGTTTGGGTCTCAGAGACCCTGGGAATGAGAGAGAGGTGTAGACAGGGTTTGCACTCTGTATCACACTAAGGCATGCATCTTGTCCCTTTCCCTCTGTTCTCCAGAAATTTTTTACAGTACAAAATGTTACTGTGCTAGCCACTCTGGCCCCAGCAATCTTCCAAAGCCTGGATCCTGTAACTTCACAGCATTGGAAAGAATGAGAAGGACTGAGTATTGGAGTTGAATTTTGTTGTAAGTCTGTGGGTTGAGTCCATACATCTCTGTTGCTAGTTGTGTGGTTGGCGATCAAGGAGAAACTCCTAATGCTCTCCTCTGAAAAAAATGTATGCTATATTAATTTCACATGTAGTTGACATATATGTTCTCTCCCCAGTGGAATGTAAGCTTTTTCATTTTTGTTTGTATCCTCAGCACCTGGCACAGGTCCTGTCAACATAGGAAACACTTACTAAGTACTTGTTGATTAATTGAGATGTAGAAAAGGGTAGAAGAGGGGGCAAAAGGCCTCTGATTTCTTCTTTAAGTAGGCAGTAAGATCCTCAGCTGAAACGGAGAGGGCGAGGATGGCATGGAAGGCTTGCAGAGAAGGTTTAGAATAGCCTTCTGGGGTACTGAGATTCAGAATCATTTAGGGAAGACTAAAGGTATTGTAAGCGATTGATGTTGGATGCCTTTAGGTAGTTTCAAGATTTCTTCTAGCAGTAGTTGGTGACTAGGACTGGAGTTGGCAAATAGAGGGACTAATCTAGTGTTGGTGTTTGACAAAGCTTTAGCGTTAATAGGATGGAGGAGGGGATAAGGGATTCAAAAATAGAGGTAAGTCTCTGTAGAGTTGAACTGGTTAAGTGTTGAGTTCAGATTGGGAAAACAAAAAATAAAGTTAGAGCAGATGTGTTTTGACTGGGAGAGTACAAAATAGTAGTGGTATTAGAGGTCTCGGTGAAAATAAAGTGTAAATGTATAAGGTATAAGGTATAGGAAGGATGGAAAGTGAGGAGTTTATGGTCTGATAAAGGCACTTCAGAGCTTTTGATTGTTGAAGCAAAAGGCTTGTGAGAAATGTTGAGATTTACAAATAGTAAATGATAGAGTCAGATTTAAACCTGTGCTTAGCCCAGGTATAATAGATGTAGTAGAGTTGAGGAGACTCTAAAATTGAGAAGTTAGAGTATTTTCAGGATATCAACATAGATATCCCTAAAAACATAAGAGGAAAGAAAAACAGAAGAGCAAAAGTTGAAGTAGCGCAGAAGACTGTGAACCGGGCATTAAACTACTTGAGAAAGGAATAAAAATGACTCAGTTGAATGATTTTTCCAGTCTGTTTCAGCACAGGGAAGTAGACAGTGAGGCCTGGAGGTGTAGCCAGGAGAGAGGGCCACCCACAAGATTCCTGCCCAGTACCTAAACAGGCCCACAACTATGCACCAGAGCAACAATTGGTTCAAAATCCAGCAAAGAGGAGCCCAGCCTTGTGAGGGTCAGAAATAAATGCCAATTGGCAGCTTTGTTGCTCACTAACCAATTCCAGGTCAACGATCCAAGACAGAATGAGGAAGGGTGATGTTCCAAGGTTAGGAGTGGTAGCAGGTTTTAGGCTGTGTGTCAAGGAACAGTTTTGAGAAGCAAGGAAGGGCTGTGTGTTTCTGACCCCAGAAAATGAGCAAGGTCTTAGTTATAACGTCTAGCCTAGTCTGAAGCCTGCAAGGGAATAACTAGGGCTGGAATATCAGACCAAAATGGAACCTACAGTTCCATAACTCTGAAACAGCAGAGCTTTCTAGCTTGCTGATAATAGCTGAGTCCAGCAGTACTTTACTGGACCTCCAAGTAGGGCAAGACCTTAGTTGTGCTGCTTAGATTCCAACCCAGGTGAGGAAATTGCGGAACCCAGACCAGGAGGGCAGTGATCAAACTTTGCCTTGGGTCAGACTACTTTGGGAGCACTAAAAGCTTTCAGGTCAACAACCTAAGCTGCCTCTAATCCTGGAATAAATCAACATTTAATAACCTGAGAAAGCCTAGACCAGGAGTGGAGAACCTGTGGTCTTGAGGCCACATATGACTTTCCAGGTCCTTGGGTGCAGCCTTTTGACTGCGTCCAAATTTTACAGAACAAATCCTTCTATTGAAGGGGTTTGTTCTGTGAAGTTTGGATTCAGTTAAAGGGCCGCACTTGAGGACCTAGAAGGCCACAGGTTCCCTCCCCCTGGCCTAGACATTTTCAATAGAAGTATGCAGACTCCAAAGTAAGGAAGTAGGTTGGAGCAAACAAAAAAGAACTCCACCATATAAAGAACTATTGTGGTGACAGGGACACTCAAGACATAATCCCAGAGGAAAATGATTCTAACATACTTATAAAGTCTCAAAGAAAAACATAGCTTGGACACAAGTTTAATTGGAATTCCTGGAAGAGATGAAGTAAGACTTTTTTTTTTTAAACTTAAAATATCTTCTTAAATAAAATGAGTATGTAATGTGAAAAAATGTTTAATAGGAATGCATATGTAAAGCCTATATCAAATTGCATGCTGTCTTGGGGTAGGAGAGGGGGAGAGAGGGAGAAAATTTAAAACTCAAAAACTTATGGAAGTGAATGTTGAAAACTAAAAATAAATTAATAAAAAATTATTTAAAAAAAGAGATGTAAAAAAAACAAAATGAGTATGTTAGAGTTCTTCTATAGGATAAAAATTGAGAAAGGAAATAACATCTTGGCATAAGAGGTGTGCACCTTACCCAAAGAACAAACTCTCTGAAATTAGGATGGAACAAATGGAAATTAATGACTCTATAAGACAACAAGGAATATTAAATAAAATTAAAAAAACCTGAAAGGTAAAAAAAAAGTCTTTTCTAAAGCAATGGACCTTGCAAATGAGTTGAAGAGAAAAAAAATAAGAATTATTGGACTACCTGAAAGCTATGATCAAAAAAACAAAAAGAGCCTATACATTATAGTTCAAGAAATCTTTAAAAAAAAAAACCAACTGCCCAAATCTCTTAGAACTAGAGGACAAACTGGAAATAGAAAGAATCCCCCAGTCACTTGCTGAAAGAAACCTCAAAATGAACTCCCATAAACATTGTGGCTAATATCCAGAGCTTTTAGGCCAAAGAAAAAAATGACTTCAAGCAGCCAGAAAGAATTCAAGTACCAGGGAAGCATAGCCAGGATCACACAAAATTTAGTAGGCATCACAGTAAAGGACTGGAGATCTTAGAATAATCCCAGAAGGTAAAAGATATAGACTTACCACCTAGAATAACTTGCTTAGCAAAACTAAGTGTTCTCTAGGGGAAAAAAAAAACCCAGTTCTTTAATTAAATGGAAGACTTCCATATACAACTGTTGAAAAGATTAGAGCAGTGTATAATCTTTTAAATACATATGTAAGATTTAAGATAAATATAAAAAGGTAAACATGAATGAAAAATCACAAGGATAAACTGTTTACATTCAAATATAAGGAGATGATACAGAATTCAATCATTATCTGGGGATATAGAGAGAGTCTAAAAAGACAGAGGACCTGGAAGTGGATCTGTTATGTTTTGATATTAAAAGAAGCATGGAAAGGGACAGGGAAAGTGGTACATTTCAGGGAGGGGACAAAGGGATAGGAAAAGTGAGAATTAATCTCATGTAATTTGGGTGTGCAAGAAGACTATGCAAATAGGGATGGAGTAGGGGGATTGGATGATGCTTGAACCTCACTTTCATCTAAACTTGTTAAAAGACTGAAGCCTATGCACAAGTTGAGTATAAAAATACATTTCACTCAACAGCAAAACAGGCTTTAAAGGGAACGGGAAGTTAGATTAAAAGAGGAATTAGTTCTAAACAAAATAAGCTCTAAGGATGTACAAAGATACTAAGAATTGGAAAGTAAGGGGATGCTGACCAGTTGGGGAAAGGCTAAACAAGTTATGGTGTTAATCAATGCGATGGAATACTATTGTGACATGAGAAATGATGAAGGGAGTGCTTTCAGAGAAGCCTGGGAAGACTTGTATATATTGATGTAGAGTGAAGTGCGCCAAAACAGAACAGTTCATACAGTGACATTATTATAAAGACAACTTTAAAAGACTTAGGAACTCATCAGTGGAATGACTACGTATGGTTCCAGAAGACTCATATGCTACTCCCTTCCTGATAGACATTAATAGACAATGGAGAATGGGGATTTTTTTTTTTTGGACATGGCCAACGTAGGAGTTTGTTTTGATCAATTGAAACATATTTTTAGATATTTCCCTGCCCTTTTACAGGGGTGGGGATGGGAGAGAGAATGAAGATTGCTCTTTAAAGACAGGAACTGGTTTCATTTTGTCTTTGTATCTCCAGTACTGAACACAGTGCCAGGCACATAATAGAAGCTAAAAAAAAAATGCTGGCTTGATTGATGTAGTTTTGAGAGTTGTCTGAATATAAATGATAATAGAAGCCTCAAGAGTAGGTGGAGTCATCTAGGGAGAGAGTATGGAGATTTACAGGAGATGGATGAAGGACAGATTTTGAGGGTGGCCTTTATTTGGAAGTGAGAGAAACAGAAGCCAACTTGTTATTTTAAACTGTTACTCTGTTGCTTGGTAAGAAGTCAATAGCTTTGGATAAATGAATTTATGTGAAATGAATTTTTTTTCCTTTTCATGGAGGCCTTGAGTCCTGATGACCGTTATATCCTCACAGCTGACAGAGATGAGAAAATCCGTGTTAGTTTGTTTGCAGCACCACACAACATAGAATCTTTCTGCTTGGGTCATACTGAGTAAGTAAATTGTCCTTCACATTTGATAATAGTTGTAATCATACTTCACATTTATATAATGTTTTATAGTTTGTAAAGTGCTTTCATCACAACTTAGTGAAGTAGGTAACATAAGTAGTTTGTCCTTATTTTACTGGTAAAGGAAAGTAAAAATCATAAGTGACCTGCACAAGATCGCATAGCTAGTGAATACTAGAACTAAGAATTGAACACAGGTATTTTCACTTCAAGGCAAACACCACATTGGTTTTGTTTGATCATAATTCATGTATGAATTCATGTATGAATCATTACTTTTATTGTCCAAGGAAACTGCAGTATTTATGTCATGAGCCAATTTGCTAGTTTTTATTTAATTTTTATCAGCTTCAACACATTGAAACTTAGCCTTCCAGTTCATGTAGAGAAGTCTCATCAATGGGCAGTAAGTATTGCTTTGGAGTTTCTTCTGAAATTAGTAGTGCTTGCTGTTTGTTTATGTTAATTAATCATGGTTTTTAGAAAGGGTTTATTTATTTGATTAAATAATGTCCTATTAGAATAAAATCCAGTAATTTTTGACATGAGGCAAAGTACAGGTTACTTGCAGAGTGATTATGAAGGAAACTACTGGGGGTCTGTTATAATTTATTTAGTTAATCAGTTTGAAATTTGTGTTTTTGATGAAGTTTTTGTTTCAGGAGAGTGACCACATAATTTATAGGTATAGAGATTCCTTTATGTCGTGGACAGGTACTCAGGGAGCAAGAAATATGTAGCTTAACATTTTTAACTGTTAAGAATTGACTCTGAACTAAAGTATTGCTTTTTTTTTGTTTCAGTGTGCTTAATTTTATTCTTTTTCACTTAACATGCAGTTAGTTTCTTTCCTCTCATTTCCCCATTATTGAAAGGAAAAAAAAAGCTCTGCAACAAGCATGCCTAATCGAGCAAGACAAATTCTTACATTGGCTTTTTAAAGAAATGCATGTCTTATTCTGCATCTTGCTTTCATCACTTCTCTTTCAGGAGTTGGGTAATATTCTTCCTCAGTGGTTGTCTGCAATGGTGGTTGGTCATTGCGTCAATTGAATTGCTAAGTTGCTTTCCTAAATGTACTTCTCTGTGTCTGTGTCTCTGTCTTTGTCTCTCTGCTTCCCTCCCTCCCTCCATGAGAACAGTTTTATTTTTAATTCCCTGAGTTTTGATGTCTAAAGAAGGCATTTCTATTGAAAGTTGTAGTTATTCTTGGACAAATATTTAGTTGAGGTTTTCCCAAGGAAAAGCTTTAGTTTAATTTGCTGGAAAATGTTTTAAAGTATTGTATTTGAAGTAATGAAAGAAATTAGGGAGTTAGTTATAAATTTTTGAAATTCCTGATGATTAATCTGAATTTGAATGATTTGCCTAATTTTTTTTAAAATTCCATTTTATTTTATTTTCAGTTTCAGATTTTTCTCCCCTCTTCCTCTGACTCCCCTATGCATTGAGAAGGCAAAAAAAAAATTCCCCCAAAACATTGTAAATATATATAGTCATGCAAACCTTGTCAACATATTAGCTATGGCTCCAGAAAAGAAAGAAAAAGAAAAGAAAATATGCTTCACTCTGCTCTCTGAGTCCATCACCTTTCTACCTGAAGGTGGTAACATGTTTGATTATAAGTCCTTTGGAATTGTGGTTGGTCATTCATTTTATTGATTAGAGTTACTAAGTTTTTCAAAGTTGATGACTTTACAACATTGCTGGTAGAGTATAAATTGTTCTCCTGCTTCAGTTCAATTCACTTTACATCATTTCATACAAGTCTTCTCAGGTTTTTTGAAACTATTCCCTTCTTCATTTCTCATAGTACAATAGTATTCCATTGCATACATATACCATAATTTGTTCAGCCATTCCCCAATTTGTGGGCATCCCCCAAGAGAGCTGCTATATATGTTTTTCTACATGTGGAGGGCTTTTCCTTTTTCTTTAATCTCTTTGGTCTCTAGACCTGGTAGCAGTATTGCTAGGTCAAAGTTTATTAATCACCAGACACAGTTTAATAGATTTTGGGGGCATTATTCCAAATTGCTTTCCAATATGGTTATCCTGGTTCACATCTTCATCAGCACTGCATTAGTGTACCTACTTTTCCACATCTGCAGTTGACAGTTCTGAGACCTACTATCAAAATTTATAATCACCATCTCTATAGAATCATATTACTGATTGGAATAAAATAGGGTCCAACTAATCATCTATCACATTAGCTTGGGAGCTTCGAAACTTGGGTATGATGTTCCTGTGAGTTTTCATCTTGGGATCTCTTTCAGGTGAATTTTTTCTATTTCTATTTTTACCCTCATTTTAGAACTTCAGGGCAATTTTCCTTAATAATTTCTTCTAATATAGTATCTAGACTCTTTTTAGTCCAACAATTCTTATATTGCCTCTCTTTAATTTCTTTTCCAGATCAGTTTTTCTAATGAGATGTTTCACATTCTTTTCTATTTTTTCATTTTTCTGATTTTGTTTTAACATTTTTTGGTGTCTTATGAAGTCATTAGCTTTCCCTTGCCCAATTCTAGTTTTTAAGGAGCTATTTTCTTAAGTTTTTGGATCTCTTTTTCTAATTGGTTGACTTTTTTTTATAATTTTTTTGGATTGCACTTTTTTTACCCCTAATTTTTCCTCAACATCTCTTATTTGATTTTTAAATTCCTTTTTAAGCTCTTCCAAGAACTCTTTTTGGGCTTGTGACCATTTGACATTTTTCTTTGAAGTAGGAGTGGCTTTTTAAACTTCACTGTCTTCCGAGTATGAACCCAGATCTTCTCTATCCCTCTCATGGCTATCTATAATGATTGGGTTCTATCTCCTTTGCTTACTCATTTTTTTAAAAGTGGTTTATTTTTATAGTCATGTTCTAATCCTGAGGTGTGGGGAATGATGCCTAAGGCTTCAGGTTTTTGTCTTGTTGTTTTCTGAGCTCTTTCTGGTCCCAGCCTCGGGCACTCTTTGTCATTCCAGAACCATGGTTAGGGCCACCAGCCAAGGGGTCAATGCAAATCCTCTTCTTCCTGCAGTCCCTTTCCTGACTGCAAACTTTAGCTTACCCCTCTGCCCTGGAACCAGAATTAGGGACTCTGTTCTCCTGCAGGTGGCCAGTCAGCAGAGTCTCCACCCTTCTGCTTCACTCAGTGGGAGGGTACTTCCTCCTTCTCCCATGCAGCTCAGACTGTCTGTTCAGCATACCCGAGCCTGGCATCCAGCCACAGTGGGGGGTCCTTCAGTCTTCCCCTCAGCTGTCCCATCCCCACACTGTGAGGTGAAAGTTCCTGGAACCAAGGCTGCTTCCCCTTCCTTACCCCTCCAGTTGCTTAGGGCTTGTGTTAATTGATGCAGTGGAGTCTGCCTGGAGGTGTTCAGGCTTCAATCAGGTCAAACCTCAGGTCAAGTCTTTCCTGAGGTCCTCTGAAGTTATCTGAGGAGGACAACTGCTTTACCCCTGACTTTTAATTATTTCTGCTGCTCGAAGTTCACTTTGAGGTGGTATTTTAAGTTGTTTGTGGCAGAATTTAGGAGATCCCCATATTTCCATATTCCGTGTTCCCAGAGATCCTCTCCTTTCTCAACAGGTGCTTTCTTGCACTAATAACTGAGATTGTTGAGTTTATGAAATACTAAGGTTCTGTACTCCTTTGTTTCTGTATATTGTTTTCCTAATCTGTTGTACTAATCACCCTCTTTATTTCTTACCCAGTACAAAATTGTTTTGACATTACATTTTGTAGTATAGTGTGAGATCTAGGCCCCCTTCTTTCCTTCCTTTTTTTTTTTAAATTGATTTCCTATATGTTCTTGACCTTTTGTTCCTCCAGATGAATTTTTGTTACTATTTTTTTCTAGCTCTATAAAGTAATTCTTTGGTAGCTTGATTGGTTTGGTATTGAATAAACAAATTAATTAAGGTAGTATTGTCATTTTTATTATATTGCCTGCATTATCCATTACCCATTAGCAATTAATATTTCTCCAATTATTTAGATCTGTTTTTATATGAAGAGCATTTTAAAATTGTGTTCCTATAGTTTCTATGTGTTTCTTGGCAAGTAAATTCTCAAGTATTTTATACTCAAGTAGTTATTTTTCGTGAAATTTCTTTTTCTATCTTTTTCTTTTGATTTTTGTTGGATAGAAATACTGATGGCTTGCATGGGTTTATATTATATCCTGCAACTTTGCTAAAGTTGTCAATTGTTTCGACTAGTTTTTTCGTTGACTCCTTAGGGTTCTTTAAGTAAACTAACATTACCTGCAAAAGTGAAATTTTGTTTCCTCTTTGCCTATGCTTATTCCTTCAATTTATTTTTCTTATTGCTATAGCTAGCATTTCTGGTACAATATTGAATAATAATAGTGATAAAAGACATCCTTGAGTCACCCCTTATCTTATTGGAAAGACTTCTAGTTTGTCTCCGTTACAGATAATGCTTGCTTTTGGTTTTAGACACATCATTTTAAAAAAAGTTCCATTTTTTTCTTGTGCTTTTTAGTGTTTTTAACAGGAATGAATATTATATTCTATCATAAAACTTAACTTTTTTGCATCAGTACTCATTAGAGAAATTGCTTTGTAGTTTTCTTTCTCTGTTTCTACTCTGGTTTAGATAACAAGGCCATATTTGTGTCATTGAAGGAATTTGATAGGGTTCCTTCATTACCTCTTTTTTCAAACAGTTTGTGTAGTATTGTAATTAAGTATTCTTTATGTGTTTGGTAGAATTCGCTTGTAAAACTATGGAGTCGTGGGGTTTTAATTACTTTAATTAATTATTTTAATTAATATTCTTATGTGGGTTGGGACATTCTTTCGTATGATTATTGATATGTTGTATTTTTTCTTTGAGAATTTCTTATTTGTATTTTGTGACGATTAATCTATTGAGGAAGGCTCTTTTTCTTATATATTTGAAACAATTTCCTATGTATCTTAATTATTAAGCCTCTCTTAGAGAAGTTTGTTACAAAGTTTT